TGGCCAGTTGGACAGTGCCAATGGTGGCCAGTTGGACGGTCCCACTGGTGGCCAGTTGGACGGTCCCACTGGTGGCCAGTTGGACGGTCCCACTGGTAGCCAGTTGGACAGTGCCAATGGTGGCCAATTGGACGGTCCCACTGGTAGCCAGTTGCACAGTTCCAATGGTGGCCAGTTGGACGTTCCATTTGTTGGGTTCGTTAAGCCAAAGCCATGTTATTAAATTTGGCGGCCCACACTCACCGTCTCGGCTCATGCCCACAGAAAGGCACTTCTTAAAGCGACACTGTTGGCAGCGGTTCCTGTTGGTACGCATGATTGTGCAGCTCTCGCTCTTCAGACACTTCTTATACTTGATGTTCTGCTGGATGCTGCGGCGGAAGAAACCCTGCAGGGGGCAGCAGTGAGGACGACCGAGCTCAGAGTCAGAAGAGGAAAACAGCTAGAAGTGTCCAATGAGTGATGAGCACATGGTGGCCTAGTGGGAGTCCGTGGTTCTCACCTTGCATCCTTCGCAGGCGTGAACGCCGTAATGGAAGCCGGAGGCCACGTCCCCGCAGACCTTGCAGAGCAGCACCATGCCGTTTAGCTCTGAAAGTTTTTAGAACAAACCGTCAGAAACATGGCAGACATCTTTCCCCTGCTGCCATTTCTTTACATCTAGCTTCAAACAATCCCAACCAGTTTATTAGAGGAACAGTATTCCTGACAGGGAGGGAAAAAAGCCATGATGGATAAAACCTGTGCACATGAGAGCATATTTACTACTTACTGTTTAAACTGGCCACTGATTTGCTGGGCGAAGCCCTCTGAGAGCTGCTGCTGCTGCCGCTGCTGCCATCTCCACCATCGTCCCGGCCTCGAGGAGACCCTCCTGCTGAGGAGGAGGTGGAGGAGGAGCCGTCGTCTCCTGCTGATCCCGAGCTGGAGCTGCTGCTCAGGAAGGATGGTAAAGAGGAGGAGGCGAAGCAGGGGTTGGAGTTCTCGCTGTACATGGAGTCCGGACTGGCTCTGGATGGGGAGCCTCCGCAGGAACCCACATAGGAGATAACGCCCCCTGCTGGAGGAGAGAGGTCATTGAAGGCATCAGATGGAACCGATGGAACACTGGATCAACTGTCTGGTTCTCTTCAGCTGTTCCAACTCCTACTAAATACTTCATTAAGACCTTTAGGCTTTAAAATAGAGAAATAAAACATTAGACCAGCCGCAAAAGGAAACGTTATTATTAAATATGGGAGTTACTTGGAAGCTTAAGAGCACAGGGGGCGTGGCTTAAAGCAGAATTGTAACTTTTTGCCACTAGGGGCGGTAGACCTGTAACTTCTGAAGGGAATATCTACATTTTTAATTATTTAACTACTCATTATCTTGTCTTAATTCTCTAAATACATGCATGCAAGTACAATAGGCAGAAAGCTAACTTTACCTTTTACAAAATGCTGGAAGATTCTGATAACCAAAAATAAATGAAGACTTTCAGCATTTGTATAAAACATAATTTATTCAGAACAGTATTGCAGTTTTTATGAAGCTGTAGTTTGAATTATCTTCCTCGATCTCATGCCAGGTTTATTCGATTATAACCTCAATTTGTTTACTTCCTAAAATACAAAATAAAGGTGAAAAACAGACAAGTTCCAGGTTTGGCACCCCCTGAAGGCCGCTGGCAGCACTGCGCTGTAGCTAAATGGATCCGTCTGCCTCTGTTCTGGTCCTGATAGCAGACCAGATTACACTTTTTCAAAAATACATTTGAAAATTAGTCTCAAATAGAGAAATGCTTTGAACTGATGAAATGTGGTGATGAACGTGTGAAACGGCAAGCTGAAGCAAAACAAACATGGCCGCGCTAGTTTTAGCCTGAAAACTGTCCATCTCTTTTTTGGAGCAAAAAGGACGCGATTTGGGAAAGATGTTTCCACGTTCCCTACCGACTGGATTTCATTTATCAATTAACTCAGAAAGTTGGGAAACAAATCACTTCAGGTGTGACTTGGTGATTTACACAATCAGAAACTTAACTGATTTATAGCAGGTGAGTTTGGACCAGCAGGTCTAAACCTGGAGCTCCTGCTAAAGACGAGGAGACATTGAATGATGGATGGATGAACTGGTTGGCCTATATTAGTGTAACGTTAGAAACAGAGGGAGGAGCAGATGAAAGCTGAACCTCCTTCTCCTCCTCCACACAGACACCAGGTCCCCCCCCATCTGAAGGTGAAGCAGGAACCAGCTGCAGATGGAGGGATGTGTGATGCAGCAGGCGTGCCACATGTGCACGTGTCGGAGCTGCGTGTGAATCATCCTCCTCGCCCTCCCTGCATGGAGCTCAGCGTCTCTCTGCCGCTTCACTCCACTGGTTTTACTCCTTTGTGGAAGTTCTGCCTCCTGCTGGGCGTTTGGGCCGACCTGTCAGGTTGTTTAAGCTTTTCTTAAGGCCTCATTTTAGAGGCTTCATGTAGAAAAACTGCTAACTGAACAGTGCCTGTAAAAGGAGACGCTGCGGTGCTTCCACCATGACAGCAGCGTGCCTCCATTGCTAATCTGGGTCACAAAGCAGCCACCTGCTGGAAGTCAGGCGGAACAAACAGTGAGGAAATGTGACCATAAACAGACATCCTGTAGAGATGCTCTGCAGATCTAACATGAGTTCCATCAGTGAGATGACGCTCCGCTCCAGAGGAGCCGCCTCCTCCTCGTGCTCCCTCTCTGGTCACACCTCCAGGCCACGTGCCTCCTCTACACACACAGCCTCACAACGAGACCCACTGGGGGAGCCCCGCCCACCGCCACGCCTCCTGCTCCCTCCGTCCTCACGTTCCCCACATCCTCCAACCCACCCACACACCCGTCAATGTGACCGTCCCACCGGTGAAAGCCCCGCCTCCCATCATGGAGGAAACCATAGAATAAAAACACTTCAGAGAACGCTCCATCGCACTGACTCCTTTTAATGTTAGAATTATAAAAAGTGTTAAGATCAATTTGATTAATAATAATAAAACATGTTAATGGTAAAGCATTTGATATATGGAGTTTAATCTCAGTTTTACAGAACAGATAAAGTGTGTAAACATTTACACAACATTTTAAAAAGTTTGTCTTCTGTCTATATAGACATTTTTTATGTCATCGTAAACATTTAGTGTTTATTTGACTTTGTTTCTAGAAACTCCTGAGGGCGTGTTTTTCACTTCAGGTAAACACACCTGAGTGGGACATCAGAGCGGCTGCAGCTCATTGGCTCAGTGATAAACCAAACTCTCCATCCTGAGTGGATAGTAGACATACCTGACAACAGTTCACCTGCAGATAAACACCTGCTGGAGGCAAGATTCAGCACAGATAGAACCACAATTCCCAGAATGCTTCACCAGTAAACGGCCAATCAGAGAGCAGAACAGAGCAAACCTGAAGAACCTGCTGTTGGATCAGTTTAGCAGCGAACATGCAGATAGAAACGCGTCTCAGCTGAAGAATCATGGGTAATGTAGTCTGTTAGAGAAGAAAATTTACCTTTTTGATTTCATCAAAAGTTTTAACCTCAGATTTTAAATGTTTAAATGACTCTAAAACCAGATCGGGACACAATCGGTACCGGACCAGGAGAAGACTAAAGCTGAAACCAGCCCAAGCTGGACCTGATGGACTGACGGAGACACAAACACAGCAAGGTGACATGATGGACCAACCAATGCTGGAAAAAGCAAAGAAACGAAAACAGATCCTTCAAAAAAACAAAAAGTTGTGTTACAGAGATGAAAAATATAAACTGGAAAAATAAAAGAGTCAAAGATGAGAAGGAGTGATGGGATGAAGCACTTTTTAGACATGTCACTTCTTTTTCCCCTGGATTAAATCATTGAATTGCCTTCTACTCAGGTATGTAGAAAAATAGTGTCTCAGCCCCCCCCCC